AAGGACTTTTATTAAATAAAAATAGCATTATATAATTACAACAAGTGTATATTAAGCTATACATATACTTTTGATATCTAATTTAAATAGTTCGCTCAAAGTATTAGTACTATGCTAGAGGTTCTATACTAGCTACTATACCTGCACCCCAACTATGTAAAATACTTATTTAAATTCTCTGGTTACAACTGTTAGTTATCTACAATCTAACCAAGATGTAACTTACTATTCAGTAGCAGCTTTTGTAATATCTATAGATTTTGTACCCATCTTAGAACTTACTAATCCCAATATTTGGGCTAGTTTATTTACAAGATAAACTTACAGAGTAGTCTATATTTTTCTACATATATTTTTACCTACATGTTTAGTAACTTCTTTTTAATTAGTATCTGTTGTACTACTATTACTAGGTTTATATTTTAAGCCAACTTTTGGAATACTATCATAATCTGATCTGTATTTTAAGCTACAACCTTTCTAATTAGTTGTTTATTATATACTTTTTGTTTTTGTAAAATTTACAACAATCCTAGTACTTATTTTGAACTATTTTCTTACCTAGATTTTTTATTGGTCTCTTGTTTACTTTTAGCCAGCAATCTAAAAAAGTTGATTTGCTCAGACTTTAGGTGTCTCATAGTTTTTCTAGGACTTCAAAAATCTCTAATACAATCTAGATCTAAGTTTATATAAAGTTTGTATAATTTTAGCCAAATAGATATATAAAATAGAGCAAAATTTAAAATATTACTATATAAAAATGCAATGTTTGATGAATTTCTATACAAAATTTTCTTTTTTGAAAATATATGAGTTGTATCAGAGTTCTTTAAGGTCTTGTCTTTCTTTTCTTGGTCTATACTTTCAGAGTATATATTCTTTTTTTCTGGTGTATTATCTAGCAGTTCAGCTGGTATATCCCCTACTTAAGGATTTGGTCATTCAGTTCTTTGATTTCAGACCCCAGTTTGAATTTAGCTCTATTGTAGTACTGTCAATAATCATTGTTATATTCAACTTAGAACTTGCTAAATAGGGTTTCAGTTATTCTAATTCCTCAGATTTATTGCATCAAAGTTTCTATTACTAGATAGTGTAACTAAGATTACAGATTTGACTCTAGATCCAACTAATAATTAATACTATTAATTATAATATTGATATATTTTTCAAAATTGTTATTTATGAGATTTAAGCTCTTAACCTAGAGAGTGATAACTAAACCACTATACTAAATCACTACATCTCCGATTAAAAATAAAATTTAAACAAATTATACTATATATAAATATAAAAAATTGCTATATTCATTTTTATTTGCTAATGCCACCTTTTAAATATTAAAAAGTGCTTTAAAAAGATATTTTTATTAAGTAAACTCTTTTTTTTTAATCTTAATAAAAGTTATTTATTAGGCTTTTCTGGTTTTAATAATAGTAAAATCATTATATTCAAACTAGTAGTTTCTAAGAAATATATATTTGAAGTTAGTTAACTTATATTTATTTTTTAAAAAAACTATTAATCTGATTTTAATAATTTTACTACTATTAAACCCCAAAAAATTACATCAACTCTTTCCAACAATTATTTGAACCAAAATTTCTCATTAAAAGAAAAAAAACTTTTGTTGGAGAGTCATTGTAGTCTAATGTAATAGTTTGCCTAGAGGTCAACAGTTACTCTGTTTTGGGACTTCTTTATAAGTTGTGTATTCGATATGCAAGCTAAGAGCGTTAATAGACAAGATAACTGGCAGGAGGTGTGCGCCCTTGGATACAAAATCTTGGTGAAGGAACTAGTGTCTTCTTCGTTGACAAAGTTACCTAGGCTGTTTATTCCTAAAGGAGAACATAGAGAAAACAACAAAAGTAGATTTTTTAAGCCATACTCTTTTACTTGATCAAGTAGTTCCTTCTTTACTCCTACCCACCTTCCCATCAGTCTTCCAAAATTTTTTCGAAAAAAGTAAGATTTGGCTTACCCTATCAAAAGATCAATATTGTTTACCTCCAAATTCGGATAGACTGGTAGATAGCAACATGTGTTTAAAAATGGATATGATGTTCAAGTGCTGGAATGGGTTTTAGTCAAAAAAGAAATCCCTGATTGCGGCAGCAAGTGGCTTGAAATATGGGTCTACGGACAGTAGCAGCACCTACTTGAGATACGAATTAGGTTTATAGAAAAATCCGGAGTTGGGTCAGAAAGAAAAATAATGATAAGGTATAGTCTTACAGTAGAGATATACAGATGTTGCTCTTATATATAATTTTATCAACCTGGCATGGGTTATAATAGTGCATCTTCATTTTTTATATATGTTAAGTTTGCCTGTTTTTTTTTTTGCTTTTTTCATCTTTTTCCTTTTATATATAGATAAAGTTTAGGGTTTTGTTCAATTTTTGTTTGTATATACCTTAAATTTTCGGTCTTTTGTAAATTTTGGCATTATTTTTTTCCCTTATACAAACGTAAGAGATTTAATTATTTTGCCAGAATCTAGGTGAAAAAAGTTTTAAAGGAAGATAGTTGATCTTGACAAGATATACAACAACCTGTCCATAATCAAGAGGGGTGCTATTGTCAATATGAAATTTGACGCAAGTGTTGAATCCTGAGTGAGACTAATAGTTGTTATAACGGATCGCATTGGGCATTTTGCTTGGTGAGTTTTTATTAGATTAGAACATTATGCTTTAAAAATGCAAGTACTTTGTACTTTTATTAATGAGCAGTTCTAATAAATAAAGACAAGATTGCTTAAAAAAAAAAAAACTTAAAAAATCTAATAAATAACTTTTATTATTTATTTTTTTTAAACAGTCCTGCCTTTATTTTATTAAGAACTTGTACTGTTATAATAACTTTATCAGATATATTTATATATACTATTCTGTTTTAAATAAAAACCACCCAAGTATAAGCCCAAGTTAATCTGTTATAACAACTATTTGTCTTTTTTAAAATTTTTAACTTGTTAGAAATTTTGTACTGATATATATATAATATATCTCTTGATTACTAACATGTTGTATATTTTGTTAAAACTATTTTTTTTTCTTCTAATTCTTCTTTTTTTTTAAAGGATATAAGACAAAGAAAAATAGAAAAAAAATTTTTTAATAAAAATGACCAAAAAAAAAAAAAAAAAAACATAGATAAACAACTTTTATTAAAATTAAAAAAAGAGTTTCTTAATAACAATATCTTTTTTGAAGTATTTTTTTAAATTTTAGAAGTGGCATTAGCAAAAATAGAGGGTAAAAATAGCAAATTTCTAAATATAGCTAATATAAAATTTTTAGATAAAACAAGCCTGCTAAATGTTTAAAAAATTTTTTTTAAATAAATTATTTAATTAACTAAAATTATATTTATACAGTATTTTTATTATAATATTATAATATATAAAATTATTATAATTTAAAATATGCTATATAAAGTACTGTATATACTGTATATATTAAAACATTAATAAAATTCTAGTTTTAAATAAATTTTAACAAACAAAAAAAAATTATAATTTAAATAAAATTATATATTTTTTTTTATAAAAAACAAATATTGACTACAGTATATAGTAAAAAAATAAATTAAAAACAAATTTGTTAAATTTTTTAAAAATATACTATATCTGATATAGTTTAATTTTTTTTAGTTTAATTAGCTTCTATATTATACGTATACAGCAGTATATAATATATATATACAGTATATATAATATATATACTATATAAATATATATATATATATATTTTATAATTCTTAATAGTAAAACAATAAATTATTATTTGTCTAAAAAGTTTTTTTTTGTTAAATAATTTTTACAAACAGTAACTATATATATAAATATACTAATACATACTAATACATATAAGAAGATTAACATATATTAACCAGTTTAGTATGTCCAACCAATAAATCCCATATCGATACAGAAACCTCGGACCAATGGTCCGAAGTTTATAACTAAAATTGGTCTAAACTTGCGTATGTAATACTTTGCTAAAAATATTAGGGATTATTTAAAAATTATTATTTTATTATCTATATAATATCAATACCTTTGTCTGCTTTTTACAGAACGATAAGCAATTAGATTAATTAGCAAAAAAATTATTTAATGCAAAAGAAGACGATTTACATTTTATATACTAATTATGAACATGTTGTGAAATGTAATATAGTAAGCCAATAAGTTATGCAATCCGAATATTACTTTTTTTTATCTATATCAGAGCAGTCTAGGACATTCGGAATCAAGCATAAATGTATAAATTATTGATACACAAAAGCATCTAATAAAAATAATTTATGATATTGTGTGCACGAGATATTTTTGTTTACGTTACAATTATTAAAACTATTGTCTGGAATATAAATAATAGTAAAAAGATGATTATTAATTTAAAACTAAAGCAGTAAATGATTTATACAGTTTAAAGTATTTTTGTACTGTATATACTTTAGTATTATCCACTTTTGTTCCTCGTTCCTCAGGGTCGTGGAACATGTGGTTCTATCTGTGTTAGTGCCCGTTTTTTTTTAAAGAACAATCCCCAATAAACTGATCCAATTGCTATTTTGTAAAAAAAAGCATAATAACAAGTTCCCCTTTTAGTCATTTTGTTCAACCTAAAAGCACCTTTTTATTCCACGAACAAGATCATGTCTGGTTTTTCCTTGGTCCTATTAAATCCTCCTGTTCCCCCCGTTGACGGCAACTTAACCCAAGTAGAACTCTTACTTTATAGACCTCTTTACCGCCTGCGGAAAATATTTCTCTCTCAGGTTCCCATTTCATTCTCACATTAAGATCACCAAGGAGCTGTGCAGCCTTGAATCTCCATCTCGCCATATTTGTTTGATACAGATTGGCTTTTTTTTTTTTTTTTACATCATTAAAAAAAACATTTACTACATTTGCAACTTTTTCATATTCGCCCTTTTACATTTTACTTTATTTTTTTCTTTAAAAAAGTATTTTTATAAAAATGAATTCAGTTGTGGAAAATTCAATGAAAACTCCGATGGAGCAAGTCGACGAACTAAAGTATTGGCTAGCTACCGCTCCAGTTAATTGGGATTCAGACCAAAATATCCGGCGTTATCTTCTTCCTACTGGCGAATATATTTCATGTGTTCTCTGGAATAGTCTTTATCATATAACAGGTACCGATATAGTTCGGAGTCTGGTATTCCGCTTCCAAGCATTCGGTAGACCAGTAACAAACATCAAAAAGTTCGAAGAAGGTGTTTTTAGTGACTTGCGTAACCTAAAGCCAGGCATGGATGCTTCCCTCGAAGAACCTAAGTCCGAATTTCTCGAAATGTTATACAAAAATAACTGTATAAGAACTCAAAAGAAGCAAAAAGTGTTCTATTGGTTTTCTGTACCACACGACCGCCTGTTCTTGGATGCTTTAGAACGTGATTTGAAACGTGAAAAAATGGGGATAGAACCTACCACCGTTGCTAGAACTGAACCTGCCCTTTCGTTCTCATTTGATTCGACACAATCGCTTTATGACCAATTTACCAAAGGAATGTCACCTGGTTCATCCGCACCGCCATCGCCACAACTTCGAAGTCTTATGTTTGATCCTTCCTTAACTCCGATGGCTCCCGCAATGATTCCTATTAAAACCGATGATCCTTCGGGCGTTTTATATCCTCTTGATCAAGAGGCAATGGGTAATACTGCATCTGCTCAACCTTCCTTAGGCACATTTGCATTGTTCCAGCCAATGTCTCAGTGTGAACCTTTAGTAAAACAGCAAATATATCCATCTCCAGAACTTGGTTACTGTTCTATGGATGAAATTCAAAAAGGTCATTTTGAAGCGGGCTCGCCTACTGAGTATTTTGTTTCAGGATCACCTTGGAGTAATTCACCATTAGATGATCAATATATTGATGCTAGACACCCATCACCTGATCATTCTGATGGACATGTGTCTAACTTATCTCAAGCGATTGTGCCTTCATCAACATATAGCAATTCTAACATGGCCGCTGCCGCCGCTAATCTCTTTGGAATGTTTTCAATTTTCGAGGGTACCCCAACATATAAGCAAAGGAGAAGAAGAGCAAATTCATGCACAAATATAAATGTGAACAATTCTCCTCCACGATCTAATACTACTCCTTACCCTCTCAAGACCTATACATGCCCACTTCCAACATGCGGTCGTCTATTTAAACGCCTTGAACACTTGAAGCGTCATGTCCGTACGCATACAATGGAAAGACCTTATTCCTGCCAAGTTTGCGGCAAGAGGTTCTCTAGGTCTGATAATTTAGCACAACATCGCAAGACCCATGAGCGTAGTCTCAGTAATTCTCCACCCCCTTCTGATGACGGTTCCTGTAACTCTGACCTTAGTTATGAAGAAGGTATTGTCAATGACTGCTATACTTATGACAATTCAGAAATGACACAGCAACATTGTATCCCTGATGGCCTCGCTGTATACACTGTAGAACATTCAAACTTCCCGATCTTCAATATGCCATACTTGGAAGGAAATCCTACAAACGGAATACTTGCTTAATGCTTTCCGTTTGAGGATTTTTATTTCTTGGTGTATCTATATGCGGGAACCGATGAGATTTTTATTAACTTTGGGTGGAAAAAGGATGGCTTTATTATCATTAGTCACTATTAATAATGGACATTTTCTTGGGTTAAAATTTTTTTTTTCTTTTCATTTTAATTACGTACTGGTACGTTATTTCCCCTTTTTTTTCATTTATTAATATTACTTATTCCATTATTGTCTTGTAAAGTTTCGCAACGGGAACGACTAGAAAATGACCGTTCTATTTGTTAATGACCATCTTATGACCAGATTGCTGGCATATTTACTAAGGAGGACCTTGGGCCCATTTCATTTTTTAATTCAACAATGTACCAAGGGAAATTCCTGGTTCGTTCCTTTTCTTCGTACCTGTATTATTTTCTATCTATCCGCAAAATTTTTTATCGCGAACCAATTTTCTTAAAAGTACTTTATTTCTCACTTAATACACTCATTAATTTACCCCGTCGTGTTTCTTTTGCATGACTTGTAATATATTTTTATTTTGTATAGTATTCTGGTAATTGCTATACAATCTTAAATAATACATTTGTTTTTTTTTTGATTGGAAGTTTTTGGGATATATGGATGTTAGGGTTTAATCTCCCTTATGTTCGTTCCTTCCTTCCATCAATCACACATTTGTCGAAAATTAATACCTATAACCCCACTAAATAACGTTTAGTTTACGTCTAAAATCTTCTTTTTTTGAATTTGGAAGGAATGTGGAATATCCTCACGAGATCGTCCGTCATAACACTTGGAAGACAAAGGATATTCTAATGCACAATTTTTACCAAATCAAAAAAAGCAAAAAATATAACAAAAATTTATATATGTTTTTCTTTTAAAAAAAATAAATAAGAATTACCCACAAGACTACAAGCAAAACATATTATTTGTTTTGTGTTTGTTCTTTTTTTTGTGTTTCCCTTGAATTAATGTGTAATTGTCAGATAAATATATTTTATAATTATTTGTTATCACAGGGAAACGAGGAATGCCTGCACAAAAAAAAGAACTATTTCTATAATCATTAATGAGCCCTTTTGTTTATATGATTATTTTTATGGTATATATAGCTAAAACAAAAAAAAATACAAAAAAAAAAAAAAAAAATACAAAAAAATTTAAGTAAAAAAAATTTTATCATATAATTTTTTTATATGTTCTTTAAATAAGAAAGATCTGTTTTTTTATTAATGATTTATTACATGGGGTTATAGTTCGTCAAGAGACAGAAGTTTTGGAAGTTGGGAGGATAAATGAGGGATTAAGATGTCGATCACCTTAATGTCTAATTACCCTTTGCAATCAAAAAAAATAAAATAAATAAATAAAAAAAAATAAAAAAACCAAAAATTTTTGTTTTTTCATTTTTGAAAATGATCGAAAACGATCAAGGGTGTTTGTCGAATACAGGATCATGTGATTGGTCGTTCAAGTTATCGTCAAATTGTAAAAATAAACTCTATCTATCCCGTCCCACACTAAATGAAAAATTCAATGCTTATAAACGATTCTAACAGTGCTAATAGTGTTGATCAAGATGCTGAGCAAGAAGAGAAGGTTGGTCAATATAAATAAGTTGCCTTTTTACAATCTTTGAAATATTAGGTCAACCTTATTCTATTCTCAGCACTTTCGTAAAGTGCTCAATACCTTTGCACTGTACAAATCATACGCACTATCCGCGAATAATCGTCGTCGAACAGACTATTATGCCTTATCGGAACGCCATAGAGCATTAATACCAAGTTATTTAGAAATCTTGAATAAGGTCGACCAGGCAATCATAAAAAATCATCTTGTTTTGAAGCAAATATTAGCTGATAGCCGATTATTTACGAGAGATGACAAAGTATAAATATAAATAATTCTTTAATATATTTATCATTTCAAATTATTTAAAATGACCGAGTTTTGCTCGTTTTGTCGCGTCGATCTTTGGAAAATTTGTATATTGAAACATTCGACTATCGGTTAGGATAGCTTCCATCCCAATTTCCAATATGAGAAGGATTCCTCCACACATTCCCAAATAACAGAATTCGACATGGATAAATTAAGAAGTACAATCAAACAATTTGTAAGAGAATGGGCCGCGGAAGTAAGATAATCATTTTCTGTTAATCATTTTTCGTTAAATATACGTGTAAAAAAAAAAGAATTGTATTTTTTAAAACTGCTTCTAATACTCTGATTTAATAGGGTCAAGAAGAACGGGATGCGGCCTATAAACCCTTACTTGAGGCGTTAATCGAATTTTTTAAAGATGTTCCAGTTGAAGAAAGGTATGACTGACCTTATAAGTTAAATCTATAAATCATATTCGAAACTTATAATAAAGTTGAACAAACAGGTCTTCAATTCGTGTGTTAGTACCTGGTGCTGGACTAGGAAGATTGGCTTTTGATGTCGTAAAACAAGGTATTGTTTGAATTTGTTCAAAACCTGTGAATATTCCTGATGGATTAAAAAATTTGTCACTCACTAATGTAATTGGTTTTTGCCAAGTGTCTCTTTTATGCTGTTATAGGCTTCAGTTGTCAAGGTACTTAAAAGTTATTTATTTACTGTATCGTTATTATATTACCGTAAAGTAATTTTTGATCTACGATCTATTAGGAAATGAATTTTCATTTTACATGGTATGTCTTACTTTTCACTAACAAAAGTAGGCACAAAAAGCTAATTGGTCGAATAAAAACTATCTCAGTTATTGGCATCACACTTTATTTTAAACAGGTAAACCAATGCATCTTATATACAGTCAGACCTCTCTAAATGCATGTCGTCGGGACCAGCTCTAGCACGTGCATTTAGAGAGGTAAAAATCTATAGATGCAATATTAGTTGGGTCCAAAAGAAGACGTGCATTTAGAGAGGTGCTGCATTTAGGGAGGGTGCATTTAGGGGGGTCTGACTGTAATTTATATATTTGGATGATGAATGAAGAACATTATTATATTTTACAGAATTGAGAGAATTCATCAATATGAAATATACCCTTTTGTTCATTCATTCTCCAACATCGTATCATCTGAAGATCAATTACGACCTATATACATACCTGATGTATTACCAAGTAGTATACCTTCTGGTGTAAGTTTTTCGATGGTAGCGGGTGATTTTGTTGAAGTTTATGGTGATGAACAGTACAACGGTGTGAATTTATTTATTTCGTTTATATTAATATTAATAACACGGTCAAACTGATATATTAACGAGTTTGGGTGAAGATTACATCCAAGTATTTGTTACTTTATCCAATTTGTTTAAGAAACTCTAAATATGTTATTATAGTCAGCTTTACCGTAATTAATCTTATTTATTTACTGGCAAATTTTAATGTTATCAATAATTCACCAACAGATCAATGGGATTGTATAGTGACTTGCTTCTTCATCGATACAGCAAAGAATATTTTAGAGTACATTGAAATATTTCATCGTATTCTTAGACCCGGTGGTCTTTGGATCAATTTAGGTTTAATTGCTAATTCTTCTTTTTGATTCATTTAATTCAATGCAATAAGTCATAATTCTGCTCACTTTGACTTATAACTGAACTTTCTAGGCCCATTGTTGTATCACTACGAAAATTCTCCTGATGAAATGTCAATTGAACTAAGCTTGGAGCAGGTGAAAGCCGTAGTAAAAGATTTCGGTTTCCAGCTCTTAGTAAGTCCTATCAGCATATTTCATTATCATAAAATTTTTCATAAATATTTACTTTTTATTATTAAACAAGACCGAAAAAACAATACATACGACATATACTTCTAACCCAAAAGGAATGTTGAAATATTTATATGAATGTGCCTTTTGGACATGTGTAAAGCAATAGAGGTAATTTTGATTGATAAAATTCATTTAGTTCGAAAAAACATTTATATATTAAAAAAATTTTTTTGTGTATATATAATTAAAAAAAATACTATTAATGAGTTAAGTATTTTGGCAGATACATAAAACAATTTCAAGTTTGATTTTTATCATTATAAGTTTAGGTACGTTTGTTCTCTTGTAACAATTATAGAGAATTAATAGGCTTTTTGATTGTTAAAATGCAAAAAAAAAAATTCTATATACTTTAAAGTGTATATGCATATTCTTAGTTATATATTAAAATATTTATTTTGTTGGATATTATATATATTGGCTATAAATTAAAATATGCATAATTTTTGGATATTATACTTTTGTTTATAAATAACTTGTTAAAAACAAATTTATTTGCATTTATTAATTTAAAGTTTTGATTAATTAATATTGATTTAATTAAATAAAAAGATATAGTTAAGTATATATATACGTATATGATTAAAAAAATAAAAACTATAAAGTAAATAATTTATAAATAAAATTAAACTAGGATTAAATATAAAAAATTAAATATAAGAAAGATTTTTTTTTTTAAACAAGCAATAGTCTGTTTTTTCATAGTATTAATAAAATAAAATAAATTTTTTTTTTTTTTTTTTTTTTGTAAATTGCTTATACGCTGTAAATCTTTATTAGTTAATATGGAACATATTACAAT